CACGGCTGCACAACAAATGGACGATCAAATGCTGCTCGATGCAAGCATCCTCGGCACACTTTCCAAAAGATTCCAAGGCCCCATGTCACAGGAGAACTATGTTTTGATTCTCATTTTCAGGTCTACAAGTTTCGAAGCCATCTTGTACATCCAGTCTCTGTCACTCTCCTTCTCAGTCGTACATTCCGCACCCTTTCGCGACCGGCCCATCGACATTGCCCGTCCAGTCTCGCTTTCCAAAGTCACCCTCTGGCAATTCACGACGCCCCACAGAAGCTCTGTGAGCTTTTCCCTCCTCGTCTCCTCCCACAGCAGGTCTGTAATTGAACCCAAAAAGCAAAAACGCAGACTACTCGAGACTCGTCAAGGAATTAAATGCTACTTGGCGCAGGCCGTACCAAGCATTTCCAATGGAGCGTCTCGAGTGAGAGATTCCGGAAAGCGTATTCAAAGTGGAGCATTGGTCTGTGCACGAATATCATCAGGCATTACAGAGATATCTATGAGTTCCAGATCAGAGATGAAAATCGGCGCGCCGAGGTAGGCACAAGCCAAGCACCACCTAGCAAGAGACGATACCATCCCTGACCGCCCCATCGGGTACCGCATCTGGGGAAGGAGCGTCGGAAAGTCCAGCATTGCTGGCAGCAGAAGTAAAGGAGGAGGAGGAGGTGCTCGAAGCGGAGATTGGAGCATTGGCCGCACTGGCATGCATCGAGTCTGCAACTCCGCTTTCGAATTGACCAATGGTGATGAGCAGCAGACCGGCAGCCTTGATGCTGTGAATCAGATTTGGCACATGATTCTGTTGCACAAGACGTGAATAAAAAGCCGTGTCAACATTTCAAGGCATCATAGCGTGGCAGTGACGCTGAGAATAGGAGCCCCATTCTGCCTGCCTGCCTGCCTGTCTACTCACAAGAATGACAGCGTCGACCATGATGCCGAGCAGATTGTTCGATTTGGCAAACCTGACTGCTTCGCAGACGCTGTTCCTTCTTGGATCCGGCTCGCCCCGATCACAAGGGGCCAAGATGGTGTCTCCGTTGGCTGTCCTAGCCAAGCCGCAGTACGAAGCAAAGAATACAGCATCTGGAAGAAAAATCATCGGGAGGGATCAGCACCAGATGTGTAGGTGATGCGGATCCTATAGACATGACTCACAGTTTGGCTGCTTCCAATTCAGAGCTGTGCAGACCGTGGGACTTCGACTCGAAAAGAGTATCTTTCTGCTTTGCTGCTGCGATGTCGTTGATTTGCCCGTGCCTCCTTGGTGGGTGCCAGCTCGGTACACTGCATGCAAGATGGCATCAACGAAATGGTTGACTTCGATCTTGGGCAGGGCAGGATTGCCCCTGACGTCGGCGGAAGAGGGGTACAAGACATCGAGATCGATGCCTATGGAGCTAGGCAGCATCTCGAGCAGATCCTCAAGAGTAACCATAGACCTCTGCAGCGCCGCTTTCCATTCTAGGAGACCCAT